CTTAGAGTGGAAACCTCAGAGCAGTTGTATTTAGAGAACAGTTCTTCAGCCTTAGATGACACGCAAAGCCAACCCTCTGCTAGAAGTCTGTTCTAGTAACCATTTGCAGATGTTGCTTGCTCTTAAGAAAAATGTGAAGAAATGTGACCAAGTTGAGATTAGTAGTCCTTGTGTAGCCTGGCTAGCACCTGACCCATCTGATGTGCCTCTTGTACGCGGGTGTGTTTCCTTAGTGTGCAAACACAGCTCTTGCCAGAGCTTGCTCCAAAGTCTGGGTCTGTCTAATGTTTTCCTTATCAGGCACTCCCAAATTCCTCATTCTCTCTCCTTCAGGGACATGCTAACCCTTTCATATCCTGGCCTGAGATAATAACACTCCCCCGGTCTTATTTTTCTGATGAGGTAGCATGCCAGCCGCATAGCTCTATGCTATAGCTTGGCACTTTGTGTGCAAAAAGAAAGTCTGGACACTGACTGTCTAACTTAAGCTAGCCTCAGTTTATGATGCAATTTCAGCATTTCCACAGTGAGGAAAAAAAAGTCTATCCTGTATAAGAGTGCAATATGTGACCTGCGGTAAAAGAGGAGTATGTTTACATTTTCATTTAATAGGAAACCAACTTTATCAGATCAGTTAATGAACTGTCCATTCCTACCCGAGGAATCCTTCTGAGTCTCACTGTATAGATAGCACTAAGTACAGCTTAGTTGTTTCCTCTGTAAAGTTGCAGCTCCTGTTTGGTCACCGCCTTTAATCTCTCATCCAAAAGGCTTTCCTCTTTTGTTTCCAAGGAAGCAGTATAGCAAGTACTGGAAAAGAAGGCAGGAAGAGAAGCCCTGTTACTTTCTCTGAATTTTTTTCTGAGATTTCAGCAGTTTGTAATTATTTACAATGCAGCTTTCAAAGTTCCTGCCCCTCCAGTGGAATATAGAGGATCTACCTAAGCAGTACAGTGAGAAAATTAGGATTTTAAGAATGTGATTTAACACTGCTGTCATGCTGAACACCTGCTGTCTTACTTGGCATATAGCTGCTTATAGCAAATAAAGGGGAGATGAGCAAAGCCTTAATATTGCCTTTTGCATATTGTGCTCAAGGCTGCAGTTTGATGCTTCTGTTTGCTTGCAGTCCCCAGTCTTCAGGTCTCTGCTGCTGTCGTCTTGAAGATGTGAGATTGCTGGTTCGGCTCTTTCACCTGAGGACAGCTAGGCAGGACTGCCCCAAGATCCTAGAGAGTGCCATAGCTGGTAGACTGCCAGATAAGAGATGCAGGAGCCACTACTCCCATTCTTGTTGAAGTGGTGTAAGAAAATAAAAATTCAGGATGAATTGGTTTAAGAGAATGCGCAAAAGCCTGCACAACTGTAACCTAGTGATTAAGGTGCTTGTTGGGACAGAACACTTGTTTGGCAGTTTCTGTAGTTGTCATGGAAAAAATAATTGGGGTAAATAAACACAAGTTTTTTTTGCAGGTAGGAACCAAACCTATCTGTAGAGCAACAACAAATAATGCTGAACAAGTTCCTGTTTGATAACTGATTATACATACTGATTGATAAAACAGCTGTAGGAAACATGTTTACGTGTTTGAAAAGTTTACCATAATATATATATGCACAAAAAGGTGTATTAATTCTGCTATTTCCTAACTCTTCTGTACCAATTGAAACCTTAATACTTAATGATTTTTTTGTTAATGTACGACATACAAAGAATAAAAGTAAATATTATATGAATTTGCAGCTATGCATATTCTGAAACTGCAGGTAAGTGATATCGTTAACTTACACTAACAAGTTAGAGGGTGGCATATGATAGTATATGCCATTTCTTACGCTACTGATGGACTATCATGGCTAATTATTGCATAAATATTTAGCAAAATATGGTTGCTATTTGAGTGCATAGCAGGAGGTGACAGATAAAAGGAATAAGAAACCTTATTTCTTTGCTGTCTTGTGTCTGTCTCACTTGATTTAGATTGTAAGCACTTTGGGCTGGAACCCTGTTTATGTTCTGTATTTGGCCTATGGCACATGGCCAGGATTGTAGTTGCTTTTCTATTGCAAATAACAACCTTGCAACTGGGAAATAATAAAACCATGGTATAGCAGTGATCTATGCCCTTCTGAGAGTTTTTATAGATATTGTAGCAGAAGTAAGTTTTCAGGAGAGACTCAGTTATTAATAAAGCTGTGCTTTTATAGGAAGAGGGAGGAGTTCTATTTGTTTAAGCAGCACAGTTGAAACAGATGGTTGAATTATTTTGGTAAATAAGTGACTTAAATACAGGATAAATATCCTATGAAACCTCTGTTCAGGAATTTCTGTAGCTAAGCAGGTGAGATGTTTAATGGCAGTGTTTGCTTGTGTGATAACTTTGTCTAGAAAAGCAGAAAGATAATGTGTGTTCTGAATTTTTGTATCAGGATTTGTGCTTTTGTCATGTTACACCACCACCACCTATTCTTTTTGTAGGGTGAAAGGGGATTCCCAGGCTTGGAAGGACAACCAGGTTTGCCTGGATTTCCGGGACCAGAAGGACCGCCTGGTCCAAGAGGCTCGAAGGTAATTCCCAACTCACTTGAATAGCATGAAAATGCTAGGAAGTGCTGATCCTAAGTCATTCCAGAACTCTTGATTATCATTGGATTAAGAGTCAAAATCTGCAGATGTTGGGATATGATATAGGGGTTTTGTTTGGTTGGTTTGAATGGTCCACCAGAGGAAAAAGATTGCTCTAAGTTTCCTATTCTTCACCTACACACATGCTCATAAACACTACATGTGTGCTTGTATCCTTTCACTCGGTTCTGCAGATGAAGGTCAAAGAACAGGTTTGGCAAGGTGCTGTAATGCAGTTTTATTAGTCCTTGCAATAATGTGCTGCATCACTTAGTTTACCGATAAGAGTAGTGTCAGCTGCCCGGAGGGGTCCCA